TAATTCTATGAGAATAAAATACCAATAACAGCACAGAGGAAGGATATCAATACTTTCAGAATGATTTCTTCCAGCTGATATATTTAATATTGACAGCCAGTTAAGAGTCCTGCTTTAATGAGCTTGAGCATTTAAAGTGGCAGACAACAAAAATGATGCATGCATTTATAATAAACAGTCTGTTAGTGTAAATGATAGTTATCATTCTTGGTGTGAATGTCTTAAACATCTTCATCAAGGCCTCTCAGTCATAGTCTAGAGTTGTTATGAGAGGTGTCACTGATGCTGTTGTGTTTTTGTATGTCGGGTTATAGAGTTAAGCCAACAAGTGTCCCGATCTAAAAAAGGAGCACATCCATGTAACATCACAGATCCGAATGCAGCAAGATGCAACCGGACTACAATCCCGATACTCAGGATCTCAGACAAGGCTGTTGACTTCCTTAAAAGCCCACTGGCCACACGCATCATGCCCTCATTCTACATCTTCATCATCCTCATTAGTTTGCCCCTGAACGCTTTGGCCTTGGTGGCATTCACCTGTAGGATTCGAGCGAAGAAAACAGCGGTGATCTACATGTCTCACCTGGCGTGTGTGGACCTGCTCTTCACCCTGCTACTGCCTCTGAAGATCCACTACCAGCTGAACGCTTCAGATTGGGTGTTCGGTGAGGCGGCGTGTCGTGTGCTCAGTGCAGCTTACTACTGCTACATGTACTGCTCCATACTGCTGATGATGAGCATGAGTGTGGACAGGCTGCTGGCTGTGGTTTTTCCCATCGCCTCTCTGACCTGGAGGAGCGCAAGGAAAGCTACATGCGTATGTGTGCTGGTCTGGCTGCTGGCGCTCGCCGGTACAGTGCCACTTCTCTCCATAACACAAACATTCAAGATAAAGGATGTGGGCATCACCTGCCATGATGCATTGATCCACAATGACCCTACAGATCAGCAGTACATGTACCAGTTCTCCATCCTTTCCTGTGTCTACTACTTTGTGCCACTTATTGTCACCTTAGTGAGCTACTCCACCATCATATTTGTGCTCCGTACCAAGTCTAATCAATTTGCGAAATCATCATCACTGTCAGAAAAGCGAAGGAGAGCTGCGATTATGGCTATTGCTGTGCTGATGGTGTTTGTGGTGTGCTTTGCACCAACCAATGGCATCCTGTTGTACCACTGTTTTCTTTTAGCTACTGGATTCAACAGCAGTGAGGGAGATTTATCATATGCGGCTTACCTGTTGGCTGTGTGTTTGGGGAGTGCAAGTGTTTTTCTGGACCCTCTTCTGTACTATTATGGCTCGTCTCAATGCAGACAGAAGATCAGCTCTGTGTTTTGGTGGAGATGGGGAAAAAGCACCTTATCAAATTCAAACAGTCAGACAAAATCCTCTTATGTAAGTTGTGAGTACAGTCAGGCACGCATTAAGATGTGAATTGTATCGAAAAAGAGCTGATGACTTTTTCTGATGTTGTGCTATTGACAGAAGATTGAATTCAAAGTCTGGCCACAAATCCTGATTCATGCTAAAGCAGGACATATATCCCTTCCATGCTGTTATTTTTAAAAATCCAGCATGTTACTAAGTCAAATTGACCCAACCTATTCACTGCTCAAGAGACTCCATTTCCTGTTTGTGACTGAGCATGTGTAAGAAACACAGTGTTACTGAAAGCATTTTACATCGCCATGTTCAGATCACATTTCTAGAGAATGTCATGCAATTTCAGGCTGAAAAATTGAAAGTTAAGTGGCAGTAAATCTGTCTAAAAGAGGACATAATATTGTATAGAAGAAACTTAAAACATTCTATTTTTGAAACATTTACTTGATACACTTTCATTCAATTTTGATTGCAAGACAATTACAAAATTACACAAATATTTGTACAAAACAGATAATAAAACAGATCATGTTGTTATCTTTATATTTTCTGAAATATTAATTAGCACAATCAGCGTTTTCTAAAAATAAAGCACCTACTTTCAGTAAATATTTGTTTAGAAATATTTCAAAAAACATTTCAGGCTCTATTTTGTGACCTATTTGTGAAAAGAGCCAGCAGCCAAAATACAACAAATAAAAAAAGCAGTCATTCCAAGTGTCTGGGTGAAGCAAAAAAACATGATATTGACTATTTTGTAATTCTGAAGGCAAAAAGTTCAGCTGCAGTCACTGTAATTCATTATATAGACACATTATCAGTATACATAATCAGACTTTTTCCATCTTTTGTCTTTTGCTTTACAGATTCACTCCACTATATTAAATTGCCGGTTTTAACTGACAGCTTGAATGTGTAAATATCTCTACATATAAAATGATGTGATACATATATGTGCACATGGATGATATACTGTATTTAAATAATGTGTGCACATTTTCTTAGATTATTATATTTTAATAACTGAACTGAACTTATATATTTTCTAATTGTCAAACAAGCCTATTTTCTCAAACTTTTAAGTTCTGGTCTCAAAACTGTAATGCAATTTTGATTGGAGTAAAAAGTGTAACAACTCGCCATGGTCTTCACTATATCATATTGTATCACTGAAGTACCTACTATATATCTTACTTTTCTCAGGTCCCAGTGACAAAAGTGAAATACTGAAATCTTGTCTTACACTGTAAAATAAATGGTGCTATATATCACTAAAAGCGATTCTTTGGCTTGTAATCATAGGGGAACCACTTTTAGTGCTATATAGCACCAATTTTTACAGGTGCTATATAGCACCTTTGTCAAATGGTGCCATGTAGAACCATAAGAGGTGCCATATAGCACGTTTTCTCAACAATGGTGCACCAATCATAACTCATCCATGGCTCCCCAGCATGCATTGCGACATGAATAAATGATGCAGCTGCATTGTCTTTTGCTGAGATTCAAATGCTGGTTCTTCATGTCTATGAGTGACCGAATTGAAACCTCTTTATAACCCATAATTCTAAAAGTTTATACAATTGTCTCACATTGTCACATAGTATCGTAGAACTGCAATAATATAAAACGCATTAAAAGAACTACAGATTTTGATAAAGTGCAACCAGAGACTCAGACGCATTAAATGATTTTACCACAAGTTCCTTGTCATCACATATGTGCTTTATAAACACTATTGTAACAGCCAAAGAGAAACTTATTACAACTTAAAATTAAAGTCAAAGGTCAAGAGGCAACTAAAGCAAACACTATTCACCAAAACGGTAAGTTGAAAAACAAACAAACATCTAAACCTTAATTCTCAATAAAGAACTTCTGTTTTAGATACTCCAGAAATAAAGTCTAACTGGTTAGTAATGTGTGAAGTTGGTGTTGCTGTTTGTGGAGAGGTCCTTTTTTTCTGAGGTCAAAGGTCTCATGTGGGGGCCCTGGAATATTTCCTTATGGGGGCCTTGGGGGCAAAAAAAAATTTATATCTTCAAGAAATAGACTGTATTTTAATGTTGTTTTAACCCTTTCCCCAACTAAACTAAGAGACTAAGAGAGAGTTAAAGAACCTTTAAAGAACTATACAGGGGCTTACAGGTTTTACGGTAGTGGTGCTATATAGCACCTCATCGACTCCAAAGAACCGCTGAAGAACCATACAGGGGCTTAACAGGTTCTTTATAAGGTAGTGGTGCTATTTAGCACCTTAACCACTCCAAATAACTTTTTTTAGAGTGTACAGCAGAGATAAGTTTGCCTACATGTTTTTCTGTTGCATTATATTTATCTGATGTACAGATAAGCATAACTTCCCCATTCCATAAATAACTATTCTCAGATCTGGACATCAGTTAGACACTCGTTTCAAACATATTCAGTTATGTTGCACTTTCATGTATGATTGACTAGAAGAAATATATACCAAAATAATGTACTGTTGTATGAGACCCTTTTATATTTGCTGCATTTGCTGACCAGACAAAAGCTTCAAATTTGACACGTGTCTTCATTTTGTTCATCCATGAATACATTCCTTCTCAAACCAATTATGCCGAAATTATTTGCCAAGAAAATGTAGGCATATGTCACGCAGTTACAACTATTGTGATTAAAAACAATTATTATCTGAATCATGTGTGAAGCATGTGTATTTCTTGTTCTTTACATGAAGAGGGACGAGACTTGTAATATTATTTAGTTAAATTATTATCTGACGCCTGTGATATATTGATCTTATATATTTCACAGAAAAAGTGATAATAATTCCTCTAGATGGCGATGTCCAACAGCAACTTTGTTCATGTAAACTTTCGGTTTAGAATCGGGAACGTTTTATATTGCAGTTTGTTCAGGGTTATCTTTCTTTTGTGCTTCTTGAAGCTTCTGAATCCAATCATCCAATGTCATTTTTAATCCAATGTCTGTATGATCTGCTTTTGATGGAACAGGGCAAACGAATCATTTCATTTAATTGAGTCATTTGTGTGACATGCTGTCATATCATAGGGTGACCATACGTGCCATTTTCCCAGGACGCGTCCTGGCCAGGATTTCTATATTGCGTAAAATATCTAGGTTTTGGCTTTGTTTGCGTGTGCAGACCGATCGGTGTATGACATCAAAATACCTGGAGAGCACTTTGAAAGCACAAGGAACCGTCTGTATGGTATTTTGATGTCATACACTGATCGGTCTGCACTCACAAACAAAGCCAAAACCTAGATATTTTAAGCAATATAGAAATCCTGTCCAGGACGCGTCCTGGGAAAATGGCACATATGGTCACCCTATCATATCAGTCAGCTGAGTGCATATCGCCTGACTCTCGATTATCTACGTTTTAAAATGACTTGGTTGATTAGAGCGTTGAACTGAAAACCGTATTTGGTTCGGACATCAGCCCCATCGACTCTGCTTAACCAGTTCGTCTGATTCGGTGAAAAGATTTAAACAAACGATTGGTTTACGAATCAGACGTCACCTCTCCACCGTGCGGCTGTTTCTGTCTTACTAGAAATTTTGCAGTAAGAAAAATCTGGAGTTAGAAGTAGACAGCTGATCGTCATGGGAATTAAAACAATCTTGATTTTAGTTGTAATAGCACGTACATGCACTGCCACCTTGAAAGGTAAGCCTACATCAGAATATGCATAAAAATGATAACATAATTTGATGTCTTGTTGATGTGTAACTGTGAGATTGAAACTTAATTGTATCTATAATTTGAACGTCAGGAAAACTGAAAAATTTGAACCCCCCCGTAAAAACGTACGTAAAAACAAGGCGAATATTCAAGAAGATAAAAGATGTTGCATGCGCCCATGTAAGGCAATAGGCAAACCACAACAAGGCAATGAGTTCCTCGGCGCTCTCTGCTGTATGATTTGCAGTGTCTGTCAAAACAATGAATGATTAATATGCATTGCTAAGAACTTAATTTGGACAACTTTAAAGGCGATTTGCTCAATATTTAGATTTTTTTTCAGATTCCTGATTTTCAAATAGTTGTATCTCAGCCAAATATAGTCCTATCATAACAAACCATACATCAGTGGAAAACTTACTGTATTTACTCAGCTTTCATATGATGTATAAATCTCAATTTCGAAAAATTGAGCCTTATGTCTGGTTTTGTGGTCCCGGGGCACACACACACACACACACACACACACACACACACACACACACACACACACACACACACACATATATATATATAAATTCACTATATTTACAAGGTGGGTGACAAACACATACAACCAAGCATATATTATTTTATGAATGTCTTCATACAAATGTATATTCTTGCACACATTTTTTTCAAGGAGCTGAAGATCACTGTTTAATCACAATTAGTTATTTTTCCATAGGTTAAATAAAGCAAAAATATTTAATTGATCTCCGGCCTTTCCCTGAACAACTAATAAGAGATCTTTATTGCTGTGCATAAATAAAGTATTCCAAACATTATGTTTGAGATGTGTCACTGCTCTAACATGCTGAATCTTGTATCACTGTCATTATCATGCAAATTCTGGAATGACAGAAAATGTACTTTTAAAAGACATACAAAATATTAGTTCTCTTTCGAGCGGTCTCTCCCGTTGCATAACACACATTAGGGAAAACTCCTGTTTTACTCTGTACTAAGACCCATTCTGGATCTCAGGCATCTGAACAGCTCACTTATGCGCCGGCCGTTCAAAATGTTAACTGTCAAACAGATCCTTGCGCACATTTGCCCCGAGAACTGGTTCTTGACAGTGATCTGAAAGACGTGTAATTTCACATCCACATACCCCCCATCACAGACCGTTCTTGAGATTCGCATTCAAGGGCATGGCCCATCAGTATGCAGTCCTTCCGTTTGAACTGTCTCTGGCCCTGCGCACTTTTGCATAGACGAGGCTCTTTCCCCTCTGAGACAGATGGGAATCCGCATATTGAACTACCTTGACGATTGGCTGATTCTAGCCAGATCAGAACAGGAATTGGTCGCTCACAAGACGCTGTTGCTCAGCCACTTAGAGCACCTCGGGTTGAAGATAAACCCGCAGAAGAGTCAGTTGTTGTCATTCTGGGAATGACTTTAGACTCTGCTTGAATGTAAGCATGGTTCACACTGGAACGATCCCTGACCTTTCAGCAATTGACGGCATCCTTCAAACCTGCGACGACACGTCCTTTGAAGGTTTTTCAGAGGCTGCTCTGTCTCATGGCAGCCGCCGCCTCTGTGACACCTCTAGGCCTGATCTATATGCAGCCTCTTCAATTTTGGCTCAAAGCCCATGTTCCACCCCACGCCTGGCGCCTGGGATGGCTTCGTGACAGAAAAGACCACCGCTGTGTCAAAGCTGTGGTTCCCTGGACAACCTGAACAGTCTCTCCCATTGGGTCTGGTTGGGTCTGACCTCCAGAAGGAAGGTGGTTACAACTGATCGTTCAGCTCCTGGTCAGCCCCGGGGGAATGCCTACATATCAACTGCCTAGAAATGCTGGCGGTTTTCCTAGCCCTGATCTCCTTCCTATCTCCAGGGCAGGCTCAGTTCGCACTCCCTTTACAGGATGGCTCAACGTCTCCATCTGTGGGCACAGAAATAACTCCTCTCGTTAAGGGTGGTTTGCACATGCCGGGCAGTCTGAACCTATCCAGAGGCAATGTAGCCCCAGGTGAATGGGTGTTACATCCTCAAATGGTTCTGAAAATCTGTGCTGTTTTCAGGAACGCAGAGGTCGACTTCTTCGCCTCAGAAGACAACTCTCACTGCCCAACATACTTTTTGATACAGCGAAATGCTCTGGCCCACAACTGGCCCAGTGTTCGCCTTTATGCTTTCCCCCCAATCGCCCTGATTCCTCAGGTCGTCAGGCGGTACAGGGAGACCAAGTGCTCACTCCTCCTAGGGGCCCCGTCTCTGGAGAAACCAAGCCTGGTTCGGCCAAATTGTGGCCCCTATCGCTTAAAACGGCCCTCCTCCTAGCCTTAACATCGGTTAAGCGAGTGGGTGACTTGCAAGCGCTGTCAGGTATCGCCTCGTGTCTTGAGTTTGGACCTAACAACTTTAAGGTCGTCCTGAAACCAAGACATGGTGATGTTCCTAAAGTGCTCTTGACTCACAGCACAGGTGATCACCCAGTTGGCGCTCCCCATTACAGATGGTGAGTAGGGTACTAATTTGCTCTGTCCAGTGAGGGCACTGAGAGTGTATTTAGAGCGCTCTAGCCTGTTTAGATGGTCAGAGCAGCTCTTTGTTTGCGTTGCAGGCCACCAGAAGGAACTGACGGCCACAAAGCAGTGACTCTCTCACTGGATTGTAGATGCGATAGCCTGGACTTACGCCTCAGAAGACTTACAATGCCCCATAGGTGTAAGGGCCCACTCCACAAGGGGGATGGCCTCTTCCTGGGCATGGTCCAGCGGGATCTCTATTGGTGAGATTTGTGCGACCTCCGGCTGGTCGTCACCATCCACATTTACCAGATTTTATCATTTGGATGTCCCTGCAGTACAGGCACGGATTCCCTCTGTTTAAACTCCCATTCTTCCCCCTTGGGCGAAGTTGGATATATTTGTGCTTATCAGCTGCTAGCATGTAGCACAGTGTGCTCATGTTCTTGGGAGTCCTTGTCTAGTGCTCCGAGACTGGGCTCACAGAACAGATTGTTCTGTATCTGCTCATAGCATGGCGTGATTGGATGTGCTCCCCAATGCGTGTTACACAATGGGAGAGACTGTTCAAAAGGGCCAACTGAAGTAACCTCGGTTCCCTGAGATAAGGGAACAAGTATTGAGTCACGTGCCACACCATAAGCTGCATGCGAATCAATGACTGTCCCTTCAGTTGAATGATCTGATGAATGGCGCTCCGAGCCGACTTATATAGCGGTCGGCTCCGCCCTTTCTGCCGGGCTAAAGTGCCATTGGTTTAAGCAGCTACACAAATGTGAACAAATCAGGTTTCAGGACAGAGTACTTCCCTTATCTCAGGGAACCGAGATTATGTCAGTAAGCGGAGCGATTTGCAAAGCCCTGAACTGTTCAATATAACTTGGCAGATTTGTAAATTTATATTTTGATCTAATTAATCAAAAGGGATTGCAAAAAGGTTTGTTTCAGTTTGATTTATTCAGACAGTTAACTGTCAACAAAGAAATAGTAATGCTATAGTGATTCTATAAAAGACGGAAAACCAAAAGCGCCGGATGAGGTGCGTATTTAGGCTACATGGCGATTTCGTGTGAATTAATTTGGTGTGATTTGTATGAAAATGATTTTTAGAAATCATAAAGTTCCTAAACTCAAAAACCCATAAGTGGGCCAAAGACTTAATACTAAAGTGCACAAATGAGATTTACACGAATTAGCTACCAATTCTACAAAATTGCCAGAGTGTTGTACCTACAGTCCATTGTAGGAAACAAAACTTGCAAATGTCATCTTTCGTTTGTCAACGATGAAGCAGCTCTTGCATGCAGATTCTGTATTTCAGGGAAAGCCAAATGATATCCATATATTCATAACATCAACATATTTGGTGGCCTGTGCTCCAGTATTGATGCAAGTCTAGAAATGCCCTGATAACTCTCACTAATGGTGTTGTGCTTTTGTATGTTAATCTACAGACAGATCTCTAGGCAGTTTTGGTATTATAAAAGACTGTAATTCTACTTTGGACCAAGCAAAGATCAACTATTCCTCACTGTCCATCTCAAACGAGACTGTTGACTTCCTTAAAGGCCCAATGGTCACACGCCTCATGCCCTCGTTCTACATCTTCATCATCCTCATTAGTTTGCCCCTGAATGGTTTGGCGATGGTAACGTTCACCTATAGGATCCGAGAGAAGAAACCAGCTGTGATCTACATGTCTTACCTGGCGTGTGTGGACCTGCTCTTCACCCTGCTGCTGCCTCTGAAGATCCACTACCAGCTGAACGCTTCAAATTGGGTGTTTGGTGAGGCGGTGTGTCGTGTGCTCAGTGCAGCTTACTACTGCTACATGTACTGCTCCATACTGCTGATGATGTGCATGAGTGTGGACAGGCTGCTGGCTGTGGCATTTCCTATCGCCTCTCTGACCTGGAGGAGCACAAGGAAAGCAACACTCATATGCACATTAACTTGGCTGCTGGCAGTCACTGGTACGGTACCACTTCTCTCAATGAGACAAACATTTAAGATTAAGGATATGGGTGTCACTTGCCATGATGCACTGATCCATGCTGACCCTACAGATCAGCAATACATGTACCAGTTCTCCATCCTCTCCTGTGTCTACTACTTTATGCCACTCATCATCACCTTCGTGAGCTACTCCACCATCATATATGTGCTCCATGTAAAGTCTAATCTCTTAGCTACATCATCCTCATCTTCAGACAACCGAAGGAGGGCAGTGATTATGGCTATCGCTGTGCACTTCTTCGCCTCAGAAGACAACTCTCACTGCCCAACATACTTTTTGATACAGCGAAATGCTCTGGCCCACAACTGGCCCAGTGTTCGCCTTTATGCTTTCCCCCCAATCGCCCTGATTCCTCAGGTCGTCAGGCGGTACAGGGAGACCAAGTGCTCACTCCTCCTAGTGGCCCCGTCTCTGGAGAAACCAAGCCTGGTTCGGCCAAATTGTGGCCCCTATCGCTTAAAACGGCCCTCCTCCTAGCCTTAACATCGGTTAAGCGAGTGGGTGACTTGCAAGCGCTGTCAGGTATCGCCTCGTGTCTTGAGTTTGGACCTAACAACTTTAAGGTCGTCCTGAAACCAAGACATGGTGATGTTCCTAAAGTGCTCTTGACTCACAGCACAGGTGATCACCCAGTTGGCGCTCCCCATTACAGATGGTGAGTAGGGTACTAATTTGCTCTGTCCAGTGAGGGTACTGAGAGTGTATTTAGAGTGCTCTAGCCTGTTTAGATGGTCAGAGCAGCTCTTTGTTTGCGTTGCAGGCCACCAGAAGGAACTGACGGCCACAAAGCAGTGACTCTCTCACTGGATTGTAGATGCGATAGCCTGGACTTACGCCTCAGAAGACTTACAATGCCCCATAGGTGTAAGGGCCCACTCCACAAGGGGGATGGCCTCTTCCTGGGCATGGTCCAGCGGGATCTCTATTGGTGAGATTTGTGCGACCTCCGGCTGGTCGTCACCATCCACATTTACCAGATTTTATCATTTGGATGTCCCTGCAGTACAGGCACGGATTCCCTCTGTTTAAACTCCCATTCTTCCCCCTTGGGCGAAGTTGGATATATTTGTGCTTATCAGCTGCTAGCATGTAGCACAGTGTGCTCATGTTCTTGGGAGTCCTTGTCTAGTGCTCCGAGACTGGGCTCACAGAACAGATTGTTCTGTATCTGCTCATAGCATGGCGTGATTGGATGTGCTCCCCAATGCGTGTTACACAATGGGAGAGACTGTTCAAAAGGGCCAACTGAAGTAACCTCGGTTCCCTGAGATAAGGGAACAAGTATTGAGTCACGTGCCACACCATAAGCTGCATGCGAATCAATGACTGTCCCTTCAGTTGAATGATCTGATGAATGGCGCTCCGAGCCGACTTATATAGCGGTCGGCTCCGCCCTTTCTGCCGGGCTAAAGTGCCATTGGTTTAAGCAGCTACACAAATGTGAACAAATCAGGTTTCAGTACAGAGTACTTCCCTTATCTCAGGGAACCGAGATTATGTCAGTAAGCGGAGCGATTTGCAAAGCCCTGAACTGTTCAATATAACTTGGCAGATTTGTAAATTTATATTTTGATCTAATTAATCAAAAGGGATTGCAAAAAGGTTTGTTTCAGTTTGATTTATTCAGACAGTTAACTGTCAACAAAGAAATAGTAATGCTATAGTGATTCTATAAAAGACGGAAAACCAAAAGCGCCGGATGAGGTGCGTATTTAGGCTACATGGCGATTTCGTGTGAATTAATTTGGTGTGATTTGTATGAAAATGATTTTTAGAAATCATAAAGTTCCTAAACTCAAAAACCCATAAGTGGGCCAAAGACTTAATACTAAAGTGCACAAATGAGATTTACACGAATTAGCTACCAATTCTACAAAATTGCCAGAGTGTTGTACCTACAGTCCATTGTAGGAAACAAAACTTGCAAATGTCATCTTTCGTTTGTCAACGATGAAGCAGCTCTTGCATGCAGATTCTGTATTTCAGGGAAAGCCAAATGATATCCATATTTTCATAACATCAACATATTTGGTGGCCTGTGCTCCAGTATTGATGCAAGTCTAGAAATGCCCTGATAACTCTCACTAATGGTGTTGTGCTTTTGTATGTTAATCTACAGACAGATCTCTAGGCAGTTTTGGTATTATAAAAGACTGTAATTCTACTTTGGACCAAGCAAAGATCAACTATTCCTCACTGTCCATCTCAAACGAGACTGTTGACTTCCTTAAAGGCCCAATGGTCACACGCCTCATGCCCTCGTTCTACATCTTCATCATCCTCATTAGTTTGCCCCTGAATGGTTTGGCGATGGTAACGTTCACCTATAGGATCCGAGAGAAGAAACCAGCTGTGATCTACATGTCTTACCTGGCGTGTGTGGACCTGCTCTTCACCCTGCTGCTGCCTCTGAAGATCCACTACCAGCTGAACGCTTCAAATTGGGTGTTTGGTGAGGCGGTGTGTCGTGTGCTCAGTGCAGCTTACTACTGCTACATGTACTGCTCCATACTGCTGATGATGTGCATGAGTGTGGACAGGCTGCTGGCTGTGGCATTTCCTATCGCCTCTCTGACCTGGAGGAGCACAAGGAAAGCAACACTCATATGCACATTAACTTGGCTGCTGGCAGTCACTGGTACGGTACCACTTCTCTCAATGAGACAAACATTTAAGATTAAGGATATGGGTGTCACTTGCCATGATGCACTGATCCATGCTGACCCTACAGATCAGCAATACATGTACCAGTTCTCCATCCTCTCCTGTGTCTACTACTTTATGCCACTCATCATCACCTTCGTGAGCTACTCCACCATCATATATGTGCTCCATGTAAAGTCTAATCTCTTAGCTACATCATCCTCATCTTCAGACAACCGAAGGAGGGCAGTGATTATGGCTATCGCTGTGCTGATTGAGTTTGTGGTGTGCTTTGCACCAACCAATGGCATCCTATTCTACCACTGTTTTCTTTTAGCTACTGGATTCAACAGCGGTGAGGGAGATTCATCATATGCGGCTTACCTGTTGGCTGTGTGTTTGGGGAGCTCAAGTGTTTTTCTGGACCCTTTGCTGTACTACTACGGCTCGTCTCAATGCAGACAGCAGATCCGCTCTGTGTTGAGGAGGGGAAAGGCAGAGCAAACAACCTCACCAACTAACAGACAGACAAAATCAACATCTCTTACTAAAACCAGGCTTGCTGTAAAGAGTGAAATTGTATTGGGGTCAACATCTGTATATACAAACCCGTAGGTATACATAATGAAAACATTAGGCAAGGCAAGTTAATTTATATAGCACATTTAATACACAATGGTAATTCAAAGTGCTTTACATAAAAGGAAGTAAAATAATCATAAAAAAATCACAACAATAAAACAGGGAACTTAAAACCGTTTAAAATGATTTAGAAATTGATTTAAAATGAATTTAAAACAGTAAAAAATGTTGTAGCAGAGTACACTCTTAAAAATAAAGGTGCTTCAAGATGCCATAGAAGAACCTTTTTTGTCTAAATGGTTCCATAAAGAACCTTTAACATCTGAAGAACCTTTCTGTTTCACAAAAGGTTCTTTGTGGCAAAAGAAGGTTCTTCAGATTATAAAAAGGTAAGAAAGAGATGATTCTTTAAAGAACCTTTGACTGAATGGTTCTTTGTGGAACCAAAAATGGTTCTTCTATAGCATCGCTGTGAAGAACCTTTTAACCACCTTTATTTTTAAGAGTGTATTAATATTTAGGTGTAACAATAGACAATAAGGTATTGTGGAAATATCATATTGACAGATTGTGTAAAAAGACAAACCAGAGAACTTATTTTCTTTGTCGTCTCTGGTCATTTGGAGTAACAAAAAAACCCCCCCGATTATTTTATTACTCTTTAGATAAGTAATTATGAGTGTGTTACAGTATTGCAATTCAATTTAGTACATGAGTTTGTCTGTTAGGTTAAAAACAATGTAGAGGAACCAAATTAAAATCGGTTGATGGGACAGCCTCTTAAAAAAGTTATATGAACTTTCTTATCGCAAGAACCTCTTTAAGGTTAACCAAGAATATTGTTTCTAACCCTAGTCATGTGTTGTATAATGAATTTGTGCTTCTACCATCTAATCGTCGATACAAGGTCCCAAGATTTAACTGAGTGAAATTCAAACAGTCTATTGTATATCAAGCTGTCCTAGAACTGAATAAGGTATCAAATGAAAACTCCAGGAATAAAGTTTTTTTTTTTTAATTCTATTGCATTTACTGTTTACTGTATATTGTGAATTATGTTTTGTTTGTAAAGATTTAGTGTGCAAAAAAAACATACTATTACGCAACAAAAAACCCTAGTCATGTGTTGTATAATGAATTTGTGCTTCTACCATCTAATCATCGATACAAGGTCCCAAGATTTAACTGAGTGAAATTCAAACAGTCTATTGTATATCAAGCTGTCCTAGAACTGAATAAGGTATCAAATGAAAACTCCAGGAATAAAGTTTTTTTTTTTTAAATTCTATTGCATTTACTGTTTACTGTATATTGTGAATTATGTTTTGTTTGTAAAGATTTAGTGTGCAAAAAAAACATACTATTACGCAACAAAATATTCAGACTTTCTCTGACAATAAAGTTTATATCTATATCTATCTAAAAAACTGATCAGATATGTGGTTTGCATAATTGGAATTTTCAGTATATTATACATGTATTATTCTAAATTTACATCTTGCATCAATTGTTAAAATGCTAATGCGTGTGGAGTTTCTGTTCAAAAGCAAAAGGGGCAAGTAAAAGTTGTCTGGTCATAGATGTCTTTTGCAACATTTAGATAACGTTTTACATTTAACATTTTAACATTTGATTTTACCCAATTTGTTCAAGTCCCATGTCATATTTTTCACACTCTCTTTGCCTCATAGAATTCAGTAGGTTGTTTTTGCTATGGTAGGCTACTGTTAAAGCTTCTATGTGTAAATGTCTGGACTCTGTGATTGTAGTTCACACAGTCATTCTTCAGTAACGTTGCTGAATACTGGAAAAGCATTGATATGTACAATGAGGGAAAGCCAGAAGATTTTCAAAGAAATTAGTTCTTGATTTTTTTTCCACATTGTAGTTTGAAATATCAAGAGTGGCAAGAGTCCATGTTATGATTTCTTTGTGGAGGGAAAAAAGAAAATATTGGCCAAGAGTAAAAAATATTTTGTTTGTAAATATATATATTAAATGCATGTCATCAAATGTCAACCTGTAATTACTTCCGTAAAGTGGTACTATTTCTATCCGAAGCCTATGATTATTTATTTTTATTCCTATTTCTTAACATGATGCACAGAAGCTAACAATGTAGAGGAACCAAATTAAAATCGGTTGATGGGACAGCCTCTTAAAAAAGTTATATGAACTTTCTTATCGCAAGAACCTCTTTAAGGTTAACCAAGAATATTGTTTCTAACCCTAGTCATGTGTTGTATAATGAATTTGTGCTTCTACCATCTAATCATCGATACAAGGTCCCAAGATTTAACTGAGTGAAATTCAAACAGTCTATTGTATATCAAGCTGTCCTAGAACTGAATAAGGTATCAAATGAAAACTCCAGGAATAAAGTTTTTTTTTTTTAAATTCTATTGCATTTACTGTTTACTGTATATTGTGAATTATGTTTTGTTTGTAAAGATTTAGTGTGCAAAAAAAACATACTATTACGCAACAAAATATTCAGACTTTCTCTGACAATAAAGTTTATATCTATATCTATCTAAAAAACTGATCAGATATGTGGTTTGCATAATTGGAATTTTCAGTATATTATACATGTATTATTCTAAATTTACATCTTGCATCAATTGTTAAAATGCTAATGCGTGTGGAGTTTCTGTTCAAAAGCCAAAGGGGCAAGTAAAAGTTGTCTAGTCATAGATGTCTTTTGCAACATTTAGATAACGTTTTACATTTAACATTTTAACATTTGATTTTACCCAATTTGTTCAAGTCCCATGTCATATTTTTCACACTCTCTTTGCCTCATAGAATTCAGCAGGTTGTTTTTGCTATGGTAGGCTACTGTTAAAACTTCTATGTGTAAATGTCTGGACTCTGTGATTGTAGTTCACACAGTCATTCTTCAGTAACGTTGCTGAATACTGGAAAAGCATTGATATGTACAATGAGGGAAAGCCAGAAGATTTTCAAAGAAATTAGTTCTTGATTTTTTTTCCACATTGTATTGTGAAATATCAAGAGTGGCAAGAGTCCATGTTATGATTTCTTTGTGGAGGGAAAAAATAAAATATTGGCCAAGAGTAAAAAATATTTTGTTTGTAAATATATATATTAAATGCATGTCATCAAATGTCAACCTGTAATTACTTCCGTAAAGTGGTACTATTTCTATCCGAAGCCTATGATTATTTATTTTTATTCCTATTTCTTAACATGATTTACAGAAGCTGTAGTAAATGAATCTTGTTGGTATACTTTGTTCACATTGGATAAATTCTGACAGTTTTAAGCTGTTGATGATAAACTCAAAGCACAACCCTTCTTAAAGGGTAGGCGATTTCGGAGAGGCTAGCAATAGCAAGCTAGCTTTAAAAGCATAAGATCCCACCCTCCCTGCAAATCACTCTCCAAAGCCACGCCTTCTCCAAAATACATGAACGAGCTCAGGCAGACCAGAGGCTAACCAGCGCCACGATGAGAGATGACTTTGGTGGAGGATTGAATGCAGCACTGTTAGACCACTTAAATTAGTGATTGCTATCGGGATGTGAAGAGACTTTCAACCAGCATAACAAAAAATGTTTTTGAACCAAATCACCTACCCTGCCTACTTGCTCAAACTGGGCAGGGGATTCTGGGATAGCTGAGGATGGATGGCTGAGCATAAACTGTTCAATCACTCACACACTCAAATGGACAGAGTCATTTTTTACTCTTTTTTTTTAATGGATGTTCAATGTCCACTCATGGTGACTGTGCAAAATCAGATTATTGAGTCATTTCAAATACAGCTGATCATTTAGACCACAAGATAATTTGAGTAAGAGGAGACACCCAAAACAAACAACATATTATTCCTATTATTTAATTGGTCTGAGAACTAGTTTAAACAGGAATGGCAAACCTCATAGACCTCCTGAGGTTGATGCTCAAATTTTTCTGAAGCACCTCCTTCACTTAATAGTTAAAAAAATTGCCTGTATTATATCCTGGCACAAACACACAGAAGAGACTAGAACTCGGAGACCGACGCAACGCAGGTGTTTGTTCATCTAGGGATTCTGACTTTTAAGTCTGGAGAGTTTGATCTGATCAGTGCTCATGGGGGTCAAAACTCTCTTGCTTTCTATTATATGTGTGCATACATGTGGTGAGTACATCAGTAATTAAAAGTGCTTTTTGACTTGATAATCTGCTTGAATTCACATTATATGGCTTTTTATTAATTTTGAACTCAATATAGCACCATGAAAATTGGGGTGAAACAGACAAATTCAGTTTTTCATTAATGCGCAGGCAGATAAAAATAAAAAAAAAAACCTTGCAGTTGCTCATTTACAATAGACAGGTTGCTAACAGTGCTTCTGACTGGAGTTATTAAGATATAAACATGCTCTGCAAGACCTCTTATAGCAAATGTGTCACAGTCGCCTTTATTTTTCTGGTAATGGCATCAAAACTTAACGTTTGTTTGTTTGTTTGTTTGGTTACAGATGCCTCAGAACACAATTTTGCTGTTACGACAGAGGCCTACGAGACAACAGAAAATGATTCCTTTTCGGATGGGGTGTTGTATGGAACCATATCCATATACTATTCTATAGCAGAGCCAGGTAAAGTTTCCAGAACGCCAGAAGCAATTTGTTACATCATGTGACGTTAGATTATTACTGTATCTGATTATTACTGACGCGTTTGTTCCTTGAAGAGATTGATAATAAAATGCAATGTCCGTACCTTTGAAAATAAAGCTGGATATTCCAGTCCATTTATTGTCTGTTTCTTTTGATCAAATAAAAAAGCAAACAGAAAATGAAGAACAATCCATTCAGGTACATCAAGGAAGTCAAAAAAGTTTGTTTGACGCAAACCTCAGAGGTGACTTGAGAGCATAAATACATTATGCACCTTCTAGTGGTCTGAAAGAATTACAACAACCAAAAAAATGCTAAAAATATATATTAAAAAAGCTTAAAATACCCCACAGATCATTTTTTTATAGCTTGTTTAAGTTGCCACTTGTAGGGTATGAGCCAAAACACTTTTTTATCTTTGTCCCTTTAAAAGCAAATGAGCTGGTGCTCCCGGCCCCCTTTTCAGAAGAGGGCGGAGCTTCAAGAGCTAATGCTCCCGCCAGCACACTGGTCACCGGCCACAAAAACTGTCAGAAACTCTCAAGTGATCGACTCATATTGCTTTCATATGCATTTTTAACTACCACATTCCTATTTACGATCGTTCTGGCAGCACGTGAAGGCAGCATCAGTGAAAACAGGCAGCAACGATGGTAACTTTAGTAATATTAGCCTTACAGAGTGCCAAGAAGCTCTTTCAGAAAGGCAATTTGAAAAAAATATCTATAATATAGCGCTCTCTTTGTCTGGATCTGATGTTCACGCACGAAGCGTTGGTATTGATCCCTCTTTCAGAATCAGACTGTGAAAATCCAGCGTTGAAATGACCCTTGTTTTTGAGGCAGTCCGGTGTAAAATTATTGGCATGACGTTATCGATATTTTTTCAGTAGATTTCCTTCGAAAATGAAACTTAACCACAGTGTCCTTAGTGGCTCAGATGGAGGGAGTCTATGGAGATCCTATTTTCATTGGTGAATCCCAAAACACTACACTTCTATTGCCTCTTTGGCACTGACAGTGTATCTCTCCAGTAATGGCGGACTGCTGCTTCTCACTCAGGCCTGTGTCTATGCTAATAGGGCAGAGAGTGTCACAAATGGGCGGGACTTTTCCCTATGGTGACGTGTACCTAGGGAGAAATATGGAATCGCTTGTTCTGAGAGACTGTTTATGATTTATTGGGATTATAAAAAGGAGTGGGTTTTTTAAAAAACTGTAATTTTTACTATTACAGGCTGGTTGTTTTCACACACTGCAGCCACACGACTGTTCAAACACCTGTTGAAAAATATTATTTTTAATAAACATTTAAAACAGTGTATTTCTATAATCCCTCCTGCATTAACTTCAGCAGCGTGAAGATCATCGTTTATCTCAGGACTGTGGTGACAGCAGCGCGGATAATTGCTTAGCTTGCTTACACATATAACCATATAATATCTTGCATAACGAGAAAAGCATATATTTTTTTATGACATAATATGTTGCTATTACTAGAATTTTTTTTTTTTTATGTTTTAGTTTTTGACATTCTTTGGTGATATCTGTTGTCAGAGTCCTTGGAGAAAATCAATAGACAGCCATGTAATCCTCTCCTGTCTCTACTTCTTCTTGCCGCTGCCTTAATAAACTACACGACTATCATATATGTGCTCACTACCAAGAATGATCACTTGGAAACATCATACTCAGAAAAGCGAAAGAAGAGCTGCAATTATGGCTATAGCTGTTCTGAGTGAGTTTGTGCTGTCCTTTGCACCAATCAATGGCATCTTGTTGTACCACTGTGTTCGTTTAGCCACCGGAGGCAGCAGTGAGGAGGGGAAATACTACCTGATGGCTGTGTGTTTGGGGAGCGCAAGTGTTTTTCTGGACCCTCCGTTATATTACTATGGCTCGTCTCAATGCAGAGAGCAGATCCGCTCTCTGATCTGGTGGAGGAAGACAAAAAGCTCAACCACACCATCAAACACAAACAGTCAAACAAAATCCTCTAACCTGAGTTGCGAGTACACTCAGTCTCACGTTAAGGTGTGAATTGTACTAAAGATTAATTTATAAATGCATAGTCTGTATAGCACATGGTTTATACAGTCTGCCCAGATTCAGCCAAATGCAGCAAAGTTGATTGGACGGCGCTTCATAGTACAAATGGATAATGACCCAAAATATACAGCAAAAACAATCCAGGAGTTTTCTGCAATGGCCAAATCAATCAACCCGATTGCGCATGCATTCAAATTATTAAAGACAAAACTAAAGGCAGAAAGACGCAAAAACAAACAACAACTGACATCAGCTGCAGCAAAGGCCTGGCAAAGCATTTAGGCCCTAGCCCGGCCCTTCCCTGAGATGCTCAAGCCCTAGCCTGGCCCTTGTCAGACAGCTTTGGTCAGAATTATCAAATGAGTCCGGCCCGATCCTGCCTTTTTTCCCCCTTCTCCCAAAACAGCTTATACTACTGTTTCAGCTATTAAAATAGTTCAGGTATGTAATGGCAAAATGATTATATTTTGTTTTCTAAAGTTAATTTAGAAAAACGTTTGGAGCAGTTTGCGTTCATTAAATATAAGTTTTTGTTTTTTAAAGTAACGACCATGCGGCCAGCGGCAGACAATGAGCTGATCATATAGCCTATGTTTGATAAATTTAGCCTTCTCAAATCATAACGACTTGCCTAAAATAAAATCTACAGTTCATTTAAACCTTTATTTACCCAGGAAATTAAACCCTTATTACAAGAGGGTCCTGGTCTAGATAGGCAGCACATTTAGTTATACATAACACAAAATACATTAATTTACAAGTCACTCGAAACATTTACAATCCAATTATTCTAAAACTAGATCCTTTAAAATACATTTAAAATCAGTTAGTGATACCAACTCTTTTAAGCATAATTTATCTTGTAGTATAACAATTTTTAAATGTTAAACCTAGATAAATGTGCGCTATATCCAATAGTTTGTGCAGAGAGTGGAAGCTGAAGCGCGCTTTGCTGGACATGGAGGCACCAGCGCGATCACTTGCATTTTTTTCAGTGGAAACAACTTAAAATACGCAGTCATTTTTGCTCATAAAAGGTAAGAGTAATACATCATTCGGAACTGTAAAGGATATATTTGTGTGCACCCACAATATCAACAAAACGTTGTGCTTTTATAAAATAAAGAAAACAAACATGATGCGCTTTCTGCCATCTCGGTCTTGAACAGGAGCGCTTCACAAAAATGAACCGAAACTCAGGGAATACATGTATCACAGACATGATAAATATATCACAAAGCATTTTCGGTTTCGGTTTTCGACCAAGTGCATCCAGAATTTTCGGTTTTGGTTTCGGCCCAGAATTTTCATTTCAGTGCAGTAAATACACATTCTGTTGCAATGCTGAAAAGTGTAACTTTCCCATTTATAATCTACTGTACTTAAAAGGTGTATAAACGTGAAGACAAAAGAGTTTAAAAAATAAAACAAAACATGAGAGTTCTCATTCCGTAAACATCATATTTTAGAACACAAAACTACACTGAATAGTGTAATATTTACTTACAGCCAACGCATCATACCGGTTGCCAGCGATGAAGAAGGCTTAAGGATATGAATAAGAATTCACTTTATTAATCCCCGAAAGGAAATTTATGTCACAGCAGCTCACACCACACAAATAAAAAATATCAAAACATTCACTATGCAACAATTTGTTTTCGAGTATCAATTCTGCAAGGCATTACGAGTAGCCTATTACAAACAAATTGACTATAATGCAATCATCTTATGTAAAACTGATTATATAGTCTAATAGCAGCTGATAAAAAATACCTCCTAAAACGCTCCCTATGACAGTGGGGTTGAATTAATCTTGTGTTTCCTCAATGCTAGGTAACACTCCCAACAATAGACAGCCTTTTTTATGAGCTTGTTTAATTTGTTCTTTTCTCTTTCCAACAATCCCCCTCCCCAACAAGTGACAGCGTACAATAACACAGATGATACCACAGAATCATAAAAGGTCTTAAGTAGTACATGACAGACCCCAAAGTATCTCTTAACAGATGAATACGACTTTGACCCTTGTAAATCTGAATCATATTATCAGACCAGTCCAGCTTGTTATTCAAGTATGCAGCCAAGTACTTGTATGTCTTTACAATCTCAATTTCAGACCCTCCTATGTTTACTGGTACCACTTCCTGAGGGTGATTACTGAAATCAACCATAAATTCCTTAGTCTTTCTGGCATTTAGCCTGAGAAATTTTATCTCAGACCAGTGAACAAAAAAAATAAAAACTGAACAAAAAAGGAGCCAAAACCATTCCTTGAGGAACTCCGATACTGCACTTTACCACGACACACAGTACTGCTGTAACGGGGCTGACGAGACGTGAGACGTGCGGATCCATTCGCAAAGCTTTTATTGTGGAGAAGACAGAGACGTGGTCATAAAGCAGGCAGGGTCAAACAGAGGCAGACAGGTATAAGGCGGGCAAAACACAAGAATAATCCTAGGGCTAGCGTGGGTAGATGAACTGCAGACAGAATCAGAAGGGGCAAGACTAAGGGAGAAATCCAGGAAACCAGGCGAAGATCAGAAACCGAGAAAGCAGCTAAGGCTAAGGCTAAGGCTGGAAAACGACTGAGGGCTCTGTAGTGTAGCTATCGCTAGGGGAGTGATAATCGCTGAAACAATACTCGGCAGAGGGAAGGGATCAGAGTGAGTGTTAAATAGTGAGGGAGTGATATGAAACAGCTGGGTGCAATCAGTGTTAACAGCTG